CTCCCCCTGCACACCAGGCCTCCTCCCTCACACCCGGCCTCCACCCGCACACCCGTCCTCCCCCCGCACACCCGTCCTCGCCCCGCACACCCGGCCTCCTCCCTCACACCCGGCCTCCCCCCGCACACCCGGCCTCCCCCCACACACCCAGCCTCCCCCTGCACACCCGGCCTTCTCCCTCACACCTGGCCGCGTGCGTGGTGGGGGGGCGGCCGGGCTGCTGCAGAGACGGCAAGAGCAAAGGGCGGGGGACGTGCCCGGCCCCTACGTGCGTGGTGGGGAGGAAGGGCTTGCAAAGTAAGGACATCCGGGGCGAGGGTCCCCCAAGTTAGGGCGACAGCCTCTGTGGCCAGACCCTCCCTCAGGGTGTCCAGCCTGGGCAGGTCCAGGCGGCAGGCCCCGCCCCCACGGCAGCCCCTGGACGCCGGGGCGCGTGGGTTGTGCCAGTGGACATGGCCCTGAGTGGCCCTGGAGGCGGGGCCAGCCACAGCCCCCAGCAGGAGCGGTCCTGACGCCCAGGGGTCTCCCCCACGCCAGCGCACACATTGCCGTGAAGGCTGGTTTTAGACGTGACTTGTAATGCACATCACCCCAGAGCTGGCGGGTCCCCCAAATCCGCGAGAACCGAGGTACAAAGCCAAGTCCCGGCCAAGCTCTGGGCTGGACGTGGAGCCTGAGCTGGCCCACCCGGCCTTCCTCTGCAGCGGGGTGGCGGGCCGGGTGGCACCTGGGCCTTGGCACCCGCGCCTCGTGCAGCCCCGGCGACTCCAGGCTGCTTTGTGGGGGGTCTGCAGAGCTCCCACGCTGGGGCAGAGCGGGGCCCTGGAGTTCACCGGGGGTGCAGGGTCTCGCCAGGCCTCCCCTGACTCCCAGGGCCCTTCCCTCCCTCCCCTCCCTCCTCCCCTCCCAGAGGACGCGACCACCACTCTCCGCCGGGCTGGCTGGCGGTGACCCGCGGAGAATTCGCTGGCCACGGAGGGGCAGGTCCCGCCGGCCGTCCCCGCTGAGGACACGGCGCTCAAGGCCGGACCGCCGCCTCCCTCCAGCGGCCCCAGTCCCTCCGACAGACTCGTTCATTAGAGCCCGAGCGACCGGCTGGAGCGCGTGAGCCCCGCTCTCCCGGCGCAGGAAGGGCCTCTCGGCCTGGGTGCGCGGCTTCGCTGGGAGGGGGAGGAGGAGATGAGACGTCCCTTTATGAAAGCGCAGCGAAGTGAGTGGAAACGAAGTCGTGAAAATCACAGCCACGTCTGGGCTCACGTGGGCGAGCCGGCCAGGGGTGCACGGCACCCACACCCACGACCTGCTCGCGGGGCGGCCGGCAGCCCCCCCGCACGGCCAGCTGCTCCCCGCCCCGCGCTGCCCACCGGCCGGGCCGGACGTCCGCAGGGGCCGGGCTGGGCCCAGCACGGGGCCCGGCCGGGGCCAGCAGGGGGGCGCTGCCTGGGGGACGGGCCGGGCTGGCCCAGGTCAGGGCCCTCTGGGCTGGCAGCTCGCCCGATCCTCTGCGGCCTGGGGGCGCCCAGCCCCTTTCCATTTACGGGCAAGCACGTGCTGGCTGCAGCGAGCCGCGCGCCTCCTGCTGTTGCCGCTTCCCCACGCGAGGCATGTAATCTGATTTTTCTAGCGAGCGCTCCGAGGGCTAGGGATCTGAATTCACTTAACCCCCGCGCTGGGGGGAGTCCCGCCACTCCCAGCAGGAGGACCCACCCTCCCGCCTCCCCCTCACGGAGAAGGGCCTGCGGCGGGGGGGGGGGGCCTCCTCCAGGCCTCCGCTGGGCGGTCAGTGACTCTATTTCCCGGAGGTGCCCCCGCGCCCCAGGCCCCCGCGCAGGCTCCTTGCGCTTCAGGAAGCCCGGCGCCCGCTGCTGCCCTGGCAGGGACGCGGCTCTGCCTAGAGCGGGGCTGGCGCCCTGGGCATTCCCGGCCGGCACCGGCTCTCCCCACCCTCGCCTGGGGGGCCGGCAGTGCCTGCCACGCCAGGTGTAGCTTTGCAGTGCCGCAGGGGTGCCCGCCAGCACTGACGGGTCTCCGTGCACGTGGGAATGTGGGGTGACCCCTGGGAGGCCCCCAGAAACGGGCGTGGGGGGGTCTTTCCAAAAGGTAGAGGCTCCATGGCAGGGACACGCCGGGGTCAGAAAGCCAATGTGGCGGACAAGGCCAGGCCAGGCCACATGTCCCAGGGGCGCCGCAGCTGGGTGGGGCTGGCTTGGGCCCTGCCGGGGACTCGCTTGTAGGGAGTGGCTTGCCTCGGGCACCAGGGCGTGAGGAGGGGGGGCAGGAGGTGGCAGACCATCCCATGACGCGGCTCCCTGTAGACAAAGGTCTCTGGTTCTGCTTGCACCGAAATAAACACGCGGGGGCGGGGGGCAAAGCCTCCCTGTGCAGCCAGTGGCAGCTGAATCAGGGCTGGGGCCCTGGGGTCCTGCGGAGGCCCCTGCCTGGCTTGCGAGGGCTCCCCTGGTCCTGGCCCTGACCTCGAGTGCGCGGAGTGCCAGGCAGAGACAGTGACGGGGAGACAGAGGGGACCCCTCACTGCTGCGCGTCTGAGGCCGGTGCCCTCATGGCCCATCACCGATGCGGCCCCATGGAGGCCCAGTGCGTCCCTTTGGGGCATGGACGTCAGCCCGTGCACCGAGCTTGCCAAGGTCACCTCCTTTGACCTTGAGGCTGGCGGCTCCACTCTCAAGTGGGGGGGGGGCGGGGAGCCCGGGGCCTTCACTCCACGGGTGGCGTTCAGTGCTAGGGGGAGGGGTGGGGCCGGGGCGCTGACCCCCGAGAACAAGCCTGTCCACGCGGGCTCCACGGAGCACAGCCGTCCACGCAGGGAGCGGAGACAAACCCACGGCGGCCCACAGGACGGACAGGGGGCAGCCCCCTGGAGCCCCGGGGTGGGGAGGGAGCCAGGGTGGGGGCACGCGGGCTGTGAGGAGGACAGCCCCGTCCCCTGGGGCAGAGGTGGGGTCTGCACCCTGAGTGGGGGACCCAGCGGGTCCGGGGGGCTGGGGGTGGAGCGCTGGCGGGAAGCGCACACAGGAGCAGGTCCGTGGGGGGCCCTGCTGAGAGCAAGGTCCAGAGGCGCAGATGCTCCGGGAGGGAGGGAGGGAGGGAGGGAGGGAGGACCCCCTGAGGAGGGAGCACCAGGCCAAGACGCCATCCAAGAACCAGAACAACACAGACCCCCGGGGTCGTGGTTTTTACAGACGGACGTTCACCTCAGAGAGCGGAAGGATGAGCTGGGTCGCGCCCCCAGGCCTTGGCTGCGCCCCCGCCGTGAGGCGAGAGTCAGCGCCAGTCCAGGAAGATCTGACACGACTCTGAGGAGAAGGGACACAAAACCCTTGGCAGAAGGGCCTGTGCCGCTCGTAAAGCCGCGGCGGGAGGAGAGGGTGGGACAAGAGCGTTTTGCGTAAGTGCTCAGGTGCCGGCGGGGTGCTGGGTACTGGCCGGGTGCTGGGTGGGTGCCGGCGGGGTGCTGGCCGGGTGCCGGTGGGGTGCTGGGTGCTGGCGGGGTGCTGGCCGGGTGCCGGTGGGGTGCTGGGTGCTGGCGGGGTGCTGGCCGGGTGCCGCTGGGGTGCTGGGCGCTGGCCGGGTGCCGGTGGGGGCGGAGGTGATGGCACCGGGCCTGAGACTGCAGCATCTCGCGTCTGGAAGTCATTCCCCATTTCCACGGAGCGGGCGCGGACTCCCCGGGAGGTGGATCACTTGTCATTCTGTTTTCGTTTTGCCCCGTCATCGAGCGCAGTGACACGTGCCAGCCGGGCGGGGCCGCGGCCTGGAGAGCCCCAGCCGGCGCAGCCGCTCCCCTCCGGGGCGGGGGAGGGCCTTCTGCTGAGTCAGGTCCTCCACAGACGCTGGGGGTGGGGAGGCCCCCCCTCCCCCCCGGCACCGGGTCAGAGCAGCCCACCTCCGGGGTGCGCCCCACTTGGGCCTCCACACCCCACGCCCCCACACCCTCCCAATTGCCCCCACGGCCATCGGCGCCTCCCAGCATGGACGCCTTTTTGTGCCTGGGCTTTGTTCACTCAAGCACTCGGTCTCGGGTGTCGGCGCTGCCAGGGCCAGGTGGGGGCTGCCCTGGTTCCCCCCAGCGCCCCCAGGACAGGGCACTGTGCCCAGGCTGCCCCGAGAGCCGCTGTCTTTCCCGCAACCTGCTGCCCATCGCTGGCCACAGCCCGCGCCGGCCGCAGCCTGCCCCCTCTGCCTCCCCACCCCGCACATGGTGGCCCGGTGCCCGCGAGGCCGCGAGGGCCTCTGGACCAGCTCCTGGGCCGCCACGCAGGGGCTGGCCGCGGGCGGGCGGAGGGCATCTGTGTCGGGGTCCACGTGGCGGCACCGTGTTGGTGAAACGGGCCCCCCCCACTCAGAGGTTGAGGCCAGAGCCCGCCGAATGCACCTGGCGGCGGTCTGGGGGGGTCGGCGCCCCTAAGAAGAGGATGGGGCGGGGCACGCAGGAGGAGGCCCCCCGGCCGCAGCCCAGCCCCGGCTGCCTAGAGAAGGTGGCTGTGAGCTGCGGGGCTCTGGCTGAGGAGGGGTCCTTTCAGTGGGGTGCGCCGCGCTGGACTCGGGCGGGCTCACTCGGAGGCACCGGTGAGCAGCCGTGAAAGCCGCTGTGGGCGGGGTGGCGGGGGGGGGGCGGTGCGGGCGGCCCTGGGCCCTGAGGCTGCGGTGAGCCGGCCGGGGCAGCACCTGGACTCCAGGCCCGGTGGGGCTCTGGCCCCGAGAAGGCGGTGCGTGCTCGTGTGCGGAGGTGGCGTGCACGTGTAAGCGCGTGTGTGGCGGGTGCGTGTGCACAGGGCCTGTGCGTGCTGTAGGCCACGAGGTGCCGCGTGTGCCCTGTGTGGCGCGTGCACCCCGGTGTGGGGTGTGCACACGTGGGCATGCTGCCCACCTGACGCCGTGCCTGACGTGTGTCGTCGCTGGGCCTTTCTCCAGGGGAAGCCGGGCCCGGGCCCGTGGGGCCCCACCGGGGAGCAGCCTGGGGTGGGCTGGGGTGGGGGTGGGGCCGGGGGCGACATCGCTCCAGACCGGCAGCGCCTGGGGCCAGTTCCCGCGGCCTGTTTCTCGGGGAGCCCCCGCCTGGCTCCGATGAGCAGCCTTTCCTCGAGAGAGCGGCGCGGGAGGTGCCAGCGGGTCCGGTGCACTCGGGTCACACGCGTCAGACACGGCGCAGCTTTCCCTCTGAAAGGGCAGCGGCGGGCACGACGAGGGGGCGTGGAAAGCGGCTTCTCCTGACGGAAGGGACCTCTGCGCTAAGTGTTCCGGGAGAAAGGCGGGACACGTCTGCACGGCGCTCCCTGGGCCGCAGAGGAGACGGCGCCGGGCTCTGTCCCGGGCTGTTGCGCGGCTGCAGACGGAGAGGGGACTGCTCAGGGGTCACAGCCCTGCAGAGGCCTCTGAGGGGGTGGGGCACCCCCGCGTCTCCCAGTGCGGCCCTGAGGATGGGCCCTGCAGTGGGTGACGGCCCCTTCTGCAAATGCACCCCCCGAGAGGCGGGCGGGGGCCCTGCGGGGGTCAGGGCTGAAGGACCGCTCTGGGGGGACTGCTCCCGTGCGGGGGGTCGGGTCCTGGAGCACCGGGGAGAGGCCGCCTGGCTCCCCTCTCACCTCTGTGCCCCCAAAGCGGAGGCTCGCTGACTGCGGCTGGCATGACCTCAGGCTGCTCAGGTAGGCTTGGTCCTGGGGGCTCCACAGGTGGCCGGCATGGAGATGCACCCCCCCTTTTCCTGAAGCAGCTGGGGCAGCCCAGGGGCTCCTCTCTTCCATCTAGAAACACATCCCAGCTGCTGGCCCCGGACTAAGCCAGGACCTCGGCACAGAACCCCATGGGCACCGCCTGGGCCAGCACGCGCCTTCCCCACCTGATCTGGACGGGAGGCCACGCTGCGGCAGAGGCACCCTGGCCCCCGCCACCCCAGGGGGCTCCTCCTCTGCCTTCCACAGGCCAGGGAAGGGTGGGGACTGAGGGGCCCTGCTGGGCGCCCCATCCCTTGGGACCCCAGGGATGTCTGGTGATGGACCGCCTGGGCACCAGGACTCAGAACAGCAGCGCCGCCTGCTGTGTCCTCAGGCTGGCGGGAGTTCGGGGCTCGGTGCTCACGTCCCCGGGGCAGTCAGGGGGGCCATCCCACCTGGTGGGGGGTCGGTCACTGACAGCAGTGGGCAGCGCTGCCCTTGCGCCCCAGCGAAGAGGGTCGGCCCCGCCTGGAGGTGCAGCCGCTCCTCCCCGTCACACGCAGCACACGTGTGTGTATGCAGCACACGAGCACACAGGCGCCACACGTGCGCACCGCAAACCTCACGCCTGCACACCGGTGCACATGCACGCACACGGGTGCAACCATACACTGGTGCACACCTCGCTTGTGCGCACGGGGGTGCATGTGACACATACCACCGTGTGCACACACCTACACAAGGCCCTTTGAAAGGAGCCCTGGGCCCCTGGGGAAGGCCCGGGGCGCAGGCAGCCCCTGGCGGGGGCGCTGGGCGTGGCCATGGGGACCCCGCAGCTCGGCCACTGGCGCCTTCCTGCCAGGTGTGGGGGCTCGCCCTCCGCAGGTCAGGGGGCCACGGCGGCTTCAGGGGCCCCTCGTCGGGCGGGAGGGGGCCCGGGGCCGGAGGGCCGAGGCCCCACGGTGGCCCAGCCCCGCCGCGCGCGCCGCGCTCACCTATAAATCCGGGCGGTGACAGGCCGGCTGTCAGCGCGGCTGATGGACGCCGCTCTCCCGCCATTCCGGCCCGGTGGCTGTGGGAAAATTAATTTAAGTGGTAGTTAATTTCTAATGAATCCCACTCAAGCGGTTAATATGGTCCCTGGGTGTTATGGTAACCTTCATGGATCATCGCATTATGTAAATAAATTCCACTTTCTGCTGGTTTATTAAAAAAGAGCGAGATTGGGCGTCTGCTAAGCCCTGTCTGCACGCGCCGTCGACCCGACGGGAGGAGCTTTGCCGCGAGGGCCTCTGTAGCCGCCCCCCCGCCCGCCGCAGAGCAGAGGGCCCCGGAGCCTCCGAGGCCGCGCTATTTCGCCGGGGCCTTAGCCCCGCTGCTGTGCGGCCGAGGCGGCCACCGGCAGCAGCTCCTTCCACTGCGGGCCTGGGGCGCTCTCAGTGGTCAGGGTGTCCGAGGCGGGTGCCCAGGGTGGGGCGGGGCCGACCCCGGGCCTTCCCGAGCGCAGGGCCGCTGTCTGGCGGTGGGCCGCTCTGGGAGAGGCTGGGCTTGGGGCCCGTGTTCCCAGGGAGCAGCGCTGCAGGCGCTGCCCACGGGCCTTTCCGGTGTCTGCAGTCACATCCCGCCAAGACTGGGGTGCCCCAGTCCCTCCCTGCGGGGAGCGGTGGCCCAGGTCCCGGCGCCCCTCTGCCCCTTGGTGCCTCCCTCCCCTTCCAGGGCCCGAGGCTCCCCCTCCGCCCTCCTGCATGGTCTCCACTGGCAAGGGCGCAGAGCCTCCCAGGGCAGAGGGCAGGGCCGGATCCCTGCCACCCGGTGGGGTGCACGCTCCTGCCTGGTCTACAGGTGGGCGCCATGATTTGAGCAAATGGCCGCTGAGGGAAACCGGAGGACAGAGGCCGTGGCCGGGAACATGGCTGAGGTGCACAGGTGCAGAAGGACGCCAGGGTCCAAGCTTGGGCATGGGGGAGGGGCAGGCGAGGGGCTGGGGGGGCAGATCCTCTCTGGAACCCGCTGCTGGGCACCTGGGCAGAAAGATCATTGTTCAGACGGGCCTGGTGGCTCCTGGGCTGAGACCGGGAGGTGGAAGTGTTTGGGTCGCTCCCTCCTCTCTGACCAGTGATCGGGGGGCATCTGGTGCAGACCCCGGGCTGGTTCTCAGGGGTGGTGCCCAGGGCCTGGGGACAAGGAGGAGCCGGAGCCCCACCTGGGCCCCCCGGACCCCGGCAGGCGAGTGGCGAAGCCTGGATTTCCAAACAGGGAAAGCAAAGGCTCCGGCGGCTCAAATTCTGAAAACACCTGAGCACAGAAAAGCCGTCACCGCGCCAGGCAGGGGCTGAGAGCCCCGGGACGGGCACAGCCTGGTGCCCTGGGCGGGCAGACCGGTGGGCTCAGAGGGGCGCAGCGGGGCCCCCCACCTGTCCCTGCCCTGAGCCGAGAGGCGGCCCTTCCCCTCCCGTGGGCAGCGGGCACGCGCTGGGCGCGGGACCGGCCGGAGGAGAGGGGAGGGCGGGGGCCAGGCGGCCGCGGTCCTTCCACGCGGGCTGCCTGGACGCCGGCCTGAGACCCGGGCTCCCCGCACACGCCCTCGCCCGCTCCCGCCCAGGATCAGGGTGGCGCTGCGCGCCGGCGGTACATGCCCCCCAGCAGGCGCCCGGGCCTTGTGGGGTGCAGCGCAGGCACCGAGGGACCCCAGCGTCCCCCACCCAGACGCGCTCCCGGCTCGGCCCCTCACCCCCCCCCCCCCCCCCCCCCGGTCCGGCTCCGCCCCCGGCAGGCGCGGCAGGGACAGGTGACCGGCTGGTCCCGAGTCAGAGCCGCAGGCCGCGCGGGGCGGGTCGGGGCCTGCGTTGAGGCCCCCGAATTTTGTGGCCCCAGGACAGGGAATGTGGGGGCGGCTGAAGGCGAAAACCGTCACAGGCGGCGCCCCAGGGAACTCGCGCAGAGCGTCCCGTCTGGGGGAGACTCGGTCTTCGGCGGCTGCGGCCCGCGGGTCCCCGAGGCTGGCGCGGGCGCTGCGGGGGGTGGGGGGGGCAGCCCCGGCTCTGCAAGCGCCGCGCCCGGTTGTGCTGCCGCGCGGCGGGGTTGGGGGCGCGCGGGCGCCCCGCGGCCTGGGGGCTCCCTCCCCTGCCCTCGGGAGGCGGGTCCGCCGGTCAGCGGCCCGGGCTCCGTCCGGGGGGGCCCGCGGGCCTCGGCCCCGCCCGGTTTGCTGAACGCACCCGCCGTGGCCCGGCCGGGCCGGAGCCCTTCGCCGCCCGGCGTCGGCGACGCGTCCACTCACTCTTCGTTCGTGCAAGATTTATTGTACTTATACAAGAACCGGGTGCGGGCCGGGGGCGCGGGGGCGCCCCAGAGGCAGAGTGGGGGCGGGGCAGGCGGAGGCGCTGAGGCCCAGGCCGAGGGGCGCGAACCCCGCCGGGGGCTGCGGGGCCGCTGGACGCAGGCGCCGGAGCGGCCTCCCGCCGGGCCGGCGCGTCTCGGGGTGGGGGCGCCCCTCGGTCGCGCGCCCCGCTACAGCTGGCGCTGCTTGTGCCGCGGGTGGCTGGCGCAGTGGACGAACCAGCGGCCGCGCCGCTTCACCAGGCGGCAGTCCCGGCAGCGGCGGCGCAGCGCGGCCTTGGTCTTGAGGGGCCGCGCGGGCGGGGCGCCGGGCGGCGGCGGGGCGCGCAGGAGCGGGGCGCCGGGGGGGCGCGGGGCGCCGGGCGGCGGCGGGGCGCGCAGGAGCGCGGAGAGCGCGCGCGCGAGGGGCGCCGGCAGCGCGGGGGCGCGGGGGGCGCCGGCAGCAGGCGGGGCGCGGCGGGGCGCGGCAGCAGCAGGCCGGGGCTCGCGGCCGACGCCAGCAGCTTCCTCAGGAACGCGGCGGCCATGGCGGCGGCTCTGCGGGCGAGCGGGCACGGTCAGGGCGCCCGCGGCCGGGGGCGGGACCTGCGCCCCGAGACCCCCGCGGCTGGGGGTCCCCGCGGCCGGCGGGCGGGCCCGGGCACGTGGGCGCAAGAGGACGGGGCGCGGCCAAGACTGCGGCCCGCAGACGCAGGCCGGCCGGGGTCGACCCCAGAGGAACCCCCGCCCCCGCCCCGGGGCCCCCGCCCCCCGCCCGGGCCCGGGCCCCCCGAGCCCGCCAAGCCCCCGGCCCCCAGACCTCGCAGAGGGCGCCGGGACCGCCGGCAGCGCGTCTCAACCGCGTTTGCGCCCCAGGCCCCGCCTCGCGCCTGCGCAGTCGGGCGGGGACGTCAGCGCCCGGACTCCGGCCAGCAAAAAAGATGGCGGCGGGTCACGTGGCCCCGGCCGGGGCGCGCCCTGGGCCCGTGAGGGCGGCGGCGGCCGCGGACAGTGCCAGGCCGGCCACGGCCCGCTGGACACGCTAAAGGCGGGCCGACGCGAACGCCGGCGCGGGGCAGGCCGCCCGCGGCTCGCAGTCAGCGGCCTCCGGAGGGCAGGGGCGGGGCGGGCAGCCCGGCCTGGGGCCCGCAGCTCCGCGCCCGCTCGGCCCGGCCCGCCCGGCAGCCGGCGCGGCACCTCCGCGGCGATGGGCGGGCCCGGCCGCCCGGGCCTCCCCGCAGGGCCTCGCCCCGCAGGCGGGAGGCGGCCCGGGGAGCCTGGGCTGCTGCCCGCCCTCCAGGCCCCGCGTCCCGGGAGCAGCGGGCGCCGGGCGGGCGCGGGGGCAGGGGGCACCCCGGGCGGCGCGCGGGCGCCGCCTCTCCCTGCGCCGGGCAGCTGAGGTGCGGGCCGCCCGGGGCAGCCCCAGAGGCACTCGGGGGCTCGCCGTCCGCCGCCCCGGCGCGCACGGCCCCAGGCAGGCGGCGGCCGAGGACGCCCCTTCCCCGGCGAGCCCCGCCCCGCCCCTGCCTGGAGCACTGCGCGTGCGCGCCCCCGCCGCCGACCTCTCCGTGCGCATGCGCCGCCGCGTCGGCGCGCCGGGTCAAGGGTCAGCCGCGAAGATGGCGGCCTTGCTGACCTTCTGCCGGCTGCTGGGCCGGCGCGGCGCGAGCGCGCTGAGCCTGCCCCGGGGCTCCCGCGCCTTCGGGGTGCGGACGTCGCCGACCGGGGAGAAGGTCACGCACACGGGCCAGGTACCGCCGCGGCGCGGAGGCCGCCGTCCGTCCGGGGGCGCCCGCGGTGTGTCCCGGTGACCCGGCGACGGGGCGCGGGCGGCGCGGAGGGGCCTCGGCTCAGCGCGGGGCGGCCGCCTGGCGCGGCGGGCGCGCTCCGGTGGGGCCGCGGCGGGGGTGGGGCGCCCAAGCCCGACTCCCGCGGTGCTTCTCCGCGGGGCCTGGCCGCCCCGGGAAACGCCCCGCCGGCCTGCGCGGGGCCGGGGCCTCCGGGAGCGGGGGCGGGGGTCTGGGGCTTCGGGGCCTCGGGGCCGGGGCTTACGCGCGCTCTCTCCGCAGGCTTACGACGACGGAGACTACAGGAGGGTCCGGTTTGTGGGTCGTCAGAAGGAGGTGAGTGCACGTTCGTGTCGTGAACGGGTCTGACGTGGCCCGGAGCCCCTGCAGGCCGCGTCTGTTCTGAGCAGCGTGTTCCCCTGGTTCCCGCGCCCCGAAGCCTGGCGCGTCAGGAGGGTGCCGTGGGCTCTGTCGATGGTTCTGTGGCTCCAGACCCTCCGGTGGAGCGAGTGCGCCGGCTTTGTGGAGCCCCCTCGCCACCTCCCCTTCGCGTGTGCTGACCTCTGCTCCCCCAAGCCGCCTCTGCCGGGGTCTCCCCGGTTCATGCGCCCGACAGCTGGCGGCGGGTGTGGAGTCTTCTTCCCCAAGTGGGCCTGGTTGCCCCGCAGCTTGTAAAGAAACCCCGTGGGTTCAGAGGCTGCGCGGCCCTGGAGACTCCTGCCCAGAGAAGCCGGTGCAGCAGCACAGCAGCGGGTGCCCCAGGGCTGCTCCGCTGCCTCGGCTTCTTCTTCCCTCCTTTTGGTTCTTGTGCTGCCACAGTCTGGCCGTGTCCCCCTCCCCTTTGATCTTGGTTGGGGTGTGTGTTCTGAAAGGGGACTGCTAGGAAAAGGAAAATCTTTCCCTGTTAGAGAGTCATAGACCTGGACGTGTGAACAAGTTTGTTTCCTCAATAAGCAGATCTAAACAAGGTGGTCTGGCAGCCTGCTCGGCTGATTGATCTCCCAGCGCAGCCTCAAAAATCTGTGTCCTTCCCCTTTTCCTGTGTGAAGACTTGTCTGCTAACTAACCAGCGTTGTCAAGTAAAGCGGTTATGTATAAAAAAAACTCTGTCTCTAGACCGGTGCTCAGACCTTAGGGCCTGCCCAGGCCTCAGACCTCATGCACGAGTAATAAAGTTTCTCCTGGCCTCACCATTTCTGAAGTACCGTGTTGTTCTTCCCTTGCCTGGGTAAAGGCTAGAATTTACTTTTGCAATAGTTCCAGGCCCAGTGTCCCCTTTTTTGCCTGGCCGAGTTCCTACAGAAAGCGAGGCTTGCTGCACGCCCGTGTCCTGCAGCCCAGCGGGCTTGCTGCTGTGCGGTTGATGAAAGGGAGCAGATAGGTTTGTGTTTTGTCTGTCAGCTGGTTCCTTTGGTGATGCTGCACTAATGGGTTGGCCTGGGTGGAGAAGCATCTGGAAGCCTGCTCCATGCCAGAGCTCCACGTTCGACCAGTGATGTCTGCCAGGGAAGCGCGGTGAGGTGGTTGTACCCCTGGAGAAGTGGAAGCCCGTGGACCTGCAGGCCAATGGGTTGCAGGGTGATCCCTCTGAAAGTCAGATTTTCTTTTGAAAAATGGAAGCCCTTGAATGGTTTTTCAGAGTCTTAGGCTCCTCCACTGAGATGACGTTGTCCTCTGCGAGGCCCCGTGTGTCTCGTCCCTGCCTTCCCATCTGCCCTCCGTCGCCCACCTGCGCCCAGCTGTGGGTGTCCCAGGTGCACACAGAGCCCTCAGCTGTGGCTCGGGAGGGCTGCTTCTCTGCACACGGCTCGTGCTGGCTATCAGGGGCAGCAGGGCCTCCCCAGGCCTGGTGCTGGCAGGTTCTCCCAGTGGTGGTGCTGGGACCCCTTGGGCTCCCTGGCACCCTGGGCTCCCTGACACTACTGCCCGGTGTTGCAGGGCTGTGGGGGGGGGGGGCGTTGGCTGCCAGAAGGAGCAGGTGGCTCCCGCAGTCCCAGCTCAGTCTAGTTCTCAGGGCTGGAGAGACTCCCGGTGACTATGGGTTTCGCACACCGTTGCAGGGCTGGGCAGCAGCTGCGGGCAAAACCAGCAGAGAAGTCACTAGTGGTGCAGAAGGCCTGCGGCATCGCCTGGCTCTGGCCTGAAGGTGCCTGGGCTCTGGGCCCGGCCACCTTGGCCACACGGTGAGGTCCTGTGTGCACGAGCAGGCCTCCCACTTCGTTCTCTTAGCGAAAACTTGCTGTTGAGTATTTGTACTTTTTGTTTTTTTGGTTTCCAAGAAATGGTTTTGGGAAAACTTGGCTTTATTGAAGGGCTGTTCGGGACGTGCAGCCCGTCGGTTGTCCTGCCCTGCCACACACCCCCTTGGAGCTTGCCACACGCACGTGTGATTAGAACCGCCCGTGGGCACGACGGAGGCACAGGCAGCACCCGCATTTCCCCTGGAGAATGGGGCGCAGGCCATGGGGAGATGAGCCCTCCTTGCAGGGAGACAGGGACCGAGTCCACTTGCAGTTCTTGGCCAGTCGTGACCAGCGGTGCCTGCGGCGTTTTGCCCAGGGATCCCTCGCCCTGCGGCCACAACCAGCCTCCCCGGATGGCCACTTGCCCCCTTGGCACCCAGCACCAGCCCTGCCTCACCAAGGGGACAGCAGTCAGGCCGCTCTCCTGGGGCCGCCCGCGGGCGGGGTCAGACCAGCTGCGTGACCCTCCGCAGGCTCCAGGGATGTCTCCTCCTGCAGGCCTCAGTCTCCCTGTGGGCTGGAGCACCGTGCGGGTGTGAGCTGGGTGTGTGCACGAGTGTGCTTGGCTTGCGCCTGTCTTTGGGGGCTGCTGGTGGGCCTGGCTGAAGACGCGCTGGCCCTGCATGGCATGGCCTGGATGACGGGGTCACCGATGACGGGGTCACGGCTCGTCTCTGCAAGGCCTCGCCCCTCTTGTTCCAGGTGAATGAGAACTTCGCCATTGACTTGATAGCGGAGCAGCCCGTGAGCGAAGTTGGGAGCCGTGTGATCGCGTGCGACGGCGGTGGGGGGGCCCTGGGCCACCCCAAGGTGTACATAAACCTGGTAAGGTGTCCCGTCGGCTGTCCCGCTGCCCCACCCCTGGGGCTTGCACGCTGCCACACGCCACGGGGCTGGACGGGTGGGGCGTGAGGCCTCTGGGACAGGGGCAGCTGCACCCACTCACCCTTGTGCTTGGCCTGGGTGTGCCCAGCCCCGCGTGTGGGCTCTGCCTGACCCCCCAGCCCCGAGGGGTGGGCTCTGCTGGCCGCAGAGGCCATGCTCCGGGTGAACCTCTGGCCTCCTGGGAGCGAGGTGGGTTGGCCGCGATGCCAGAGCAGGGCTGTGCCGACGCTTGCCCGGTGTGGAGGCCTCTGAGGAGCCCCGAGCTGGCAGGCGTCCTGGCTTCGCCCACCCAGAGCCAACCAGTGCCCCGGGGCGTGTCTGCACTGGCGGCTGCGGCTTGACGAGGCTGCCCTGTGGCTCTTCCAGGACAAGGAGACGAAGACTGGCACGTGCGGCTACTGTGGCCTGCAGTTCCGGCAGCAGCACCACTAGCCCCGCAGCACAGGCCTGCCTGGCCCGCCCGCGCCGTGTCCTCCTCGGAAGCCCGGGGCGTGCTGGGGGCCTGCGGTTCCGGCACCACTAGCGTCCGTAATAAAGTCCTGACCCCATCCCCGCCCGTGCTGTCTCTCCTTCTTGGAAGCCCAGGGGCCTGCAGGGGTGTCCTGTTTGCCTGGGGTCCTGGCCGGGGCCCCTCGGCCTGTCGTTCGCATGCATCGGGCGGCGGCCTCGGCCCTTGTCGTGGCTGCTTGTGCCGGCTTCGATCCTGCCTCCTGCGCCCCCCCCCCCGCCCCAGCCATGGTCCCACCCCCACTAGCTGTCGCATCGCCGTCTCGTCTCCCGTGCGCCCCGTGTTCTCCACTGTCCCCGTCTTCAGGGAGTGGCTACTGGCCTGTGGGTCCGAGCTTGCCCGCTCACTCCCCGTCCCCGGCCGCAACTGCCGCCTTCCTTGGAGGACCCCCCCCCACGCGGGCTTTCCTTCAGAGCGGGCCAGGGGCACTGAGCGGATGCTGGCCGTCGTGATTAAATGCCTCCCTTGCCCCAAACACGGGCGCCAGCTTTGGAATGGGAGACGCGGCTGGCGCCCTCTGAGACGCCTCCCGAGAGGCCAGTCTCTCCCAGCCTGCGCCTCCCTCACCCGGCGGGCCTGGCCCCGCAGTGAGCGCAGGCGCGGGCCCTCGGAGGCTCGGGCAGCCTGGCCCAGGAGTGTGGGGCGGTGGCAGGGGTCTCGGGCCTGCCTGGGCCACTGGGGGAGGGGGAGGCTGCAGGGGCCTCTGCCCGCCCTGCACTGGGCCCGGCTCTGTGCCACGGGTCTTGGGCTGCCTGGACCACCCCTCCCTGGATGCTGGGGGCAGCTAGCCTACACCCCAACCTGTCTGTCGGGAGCAGGGCACCCCGACTTCTTTGGGAATCGAGTATGAGGAGCCCAGACCAGGCCTGAGTGGAGGGGGCTCGAGTGTGGGGCGCCCCGGCCATACTCGAGGACAGAGTGGGACCTGGGGCTGCAGCCGGTAACGCCCATCTGAGAGTGCCCTGGGCACCCACCTGAGGGTGTGGAGGGGGGTGTCCAGCAGCCCAGGCCCCTTTCTAGCCACCTGCAGACCCCTCCGGGAAGACGCTGGCTCCTGACCCCATCCTCGCTGCCCCTTGACCCTGGCGGGACCCTGGGCCCTTGTGTCCACGGTCGCTGTCGCGGGGATGGGGTGTCGGCCCACCCTCCCCACTTCCGGCCTAACTTGCCCCAGGCGACCCTCCCCCCCCCTTCCTGTCCCTCCCCTGGGGTCACGGCAGTCCTGTCTGCTGGGTGCAGACGTCTCCCCGGCGTCCAGAGACCTGGCGGCCGGCAGGTGGGCATGCGGGCATCCTGGCTGCAGCGCCTGGCAGCACTGCACGGCCTCTCCTCTCGGGGGTGGCCCTTGGCCGTGCGGGGCCGGGGTGCTGGCCCTGCGCCCCAGCCCGTCCTCCAGGCTCCGGGGGTGGGCCGGGCCCGTCTGCCCTCTCGGGGTCCGTGGGGCCGCCCTTGCCCCCACCGGAGCCCGGCTCTGAGCTCAGGGCCGTGGGCGGCCCCTGCGCCAGGACGGGTGGCCCCGCTGTTAACGAGCCGCTTGTCCTGAGTTGCTTGGCCGCACCCCGGGTGCCGCTGCCTGCGCCTGCGCGGTGCGGCTGTCCTCGGAGAGGCTCGGGCCGGGCGAGCGGGTGGTTTCTGGGGCCCCCGCTGTGGCCCGTGCCTCCCACAGGGGCCCAGCAGCAGCTGGGAGCTCCAGAGGTCTCCCCTGCAGGCGCGGCACGGGGTCTGGGGCGGGCCCAGGCAGGATGAGCTTGGCTGGAGGGGCTTCCGAGGGAGACCCTGGGCCCGGCCCCACTGGCCCTGGGGAGCCCCCCTGTGGAGGGGCCTCCGCCTGCTGTGCCACCAGGTTTGCCGTCAGACGCCCCTCGCTCCGGGCCCCCGGCCCCACTCATCCTCGGGGACCAGCTCTGGAGCCGGCAGGGCCGCGGCTCTGGGGGACTCTGCCTTTCACTCCTAGCCCTGCTCTGTTTTGGGTCATGGGGTGTCTCGGCCCCTTGGCTTTATCCGCCACTCGGACCAGCCCTGCCGGCCTGGCAGCGGGTAGACTTGCCCCGACCCCGCTGAGCCACGGGCCCAGCGCGCCCTCGGCTCCCTCTGCCGGCCTTGGGGCCTGTGCTCCGGGGCTTCCCGGCCATGTCCTTCCCAAGGGCATGCTGCTCCCTGGGGACAGCTGGGGCGGCCTCTTGGGCTCATGGGGGGGCAGGCTGGGGGCCCCACTCTGTCCCCGGTCAGGAGGCGCTCAGCGGCCCTCGGAGGACCCGTGTCCTCGTGGCTGGACGGCGATTTCCGGCAGACACTGGGCAGCCAGTCCCGTCCGTGCTCTGGGCAGCAGGCAGGTGCCGCCCCCGGGGAGAAGGTGCACGGCCCTTCGGCGCAGGCCCAGCAGTGGTTTGTGGCGGGGTGCCCCGTGGCCTGAGCCCAGCGTGCACACTCCTCTCAGCGGGGGCTCCGGGAGCTGCGCGTGCAGGGCCTGACCCCAGCCCCAGCACTCGCCCTGCCGCCTCGCGTCCCCACCTGTTCCAAACCGCTGCCCTGGCCACTGAGGGCCCCGCCTGGGGCACTGGGAGGGCCAGCCTGGGGAGCACATGCACGGGGCTCTGGGGCCCGGCTGATCAGCCAGGAGCCTGCAGACCTGCAGGCCAGGCTGATGGGATGGGCACCTCTTGGCCAGGCCTGCAGGGAGGGGCGCCTGGGCGGTGGGCAGGGCCGGCCTCCCACAAGTGCTGTAGGGGGCGGCAGGCCCCCTGGGGTGGGCACGGGCCGTCCCGGCTCGAGGTCATGTGGGCGCTCCCAGGCCGTGTGCAGGAGGCCAGTGGGCACTGCAGGACAGGGCTGCCCGTGGAGCGCCACTGCCACTCAGCCTACCACGGGGCCTCACCGTGATGGCCTCGAGCCCTCCCAGTGGGGGCTGGGCTGCGGCCGGCCCCCTCCCCGGGCCCCAGCCCATCTGCTGTCCCAGGCCTAGCCTGTGCCCACAGCTCCAGGCCGGGAGAGCTGGCGGCACCTCCTGCCCCGGTTGGTGGAGGTGCTGGTGGTGGCGGTGCCGCTGTCCACTCAGTTCCACCCGGCGCTAGCCCCGCCGGCCTGGCCTGCACCTCAGGGTGCGCCTGCGGCTGGAGATGTCCCTCGAGGGGACCAGGTGAGCGGGAGACGCAGCGAGATGGGGTCCCTCTGCACAGAGGGCATGCGGGGATGGCCCACCCCAGAGGGAGCCCCAGCCGCAGCCTGCGCCAGGTGGACCGTGGTCTCCAGGCCCCGCCCCGGACACCAGTGTCCCCTCAAGGCGCGGGGCTGGTCCAGGCCAAGCCCCCAACCCCCCGCATTCAGTGGGGGCGAAGCCCCGGCTGGTCTGGGCCGCGGTTGCCCCGGTGACGGTGGGGGACGCCGTCCAGGACAGCTCTCCTCCCCGTGGGCGCCCGGCTCCCCGCCGGGCTGAGTCCACAGTGCCCGGAGCTCCTGGACTCGGCCTGTCCCATGGCCGTCAGAGGCGCTGACGTGCGGGACAGGCGCCGCCGGGGAGGCCCCGGCCGCCCACCGCGGGTGCCGCTCGCGTCTCGGAAAGGTCACATTTGCAAGGGGAGAGAAGGCGGCGTGTAATTGGCTCCTCCGCGGCTGGGAGCTGCTGACGGCCTTTCCGCTCAGGTAATTAAAAGGGAGATTTCATTATGTCATTAGACGCGGGCCCCGGGATTGATCGGGGAGCCGGCGCCCAGGCTGGGCTGCCCGAGGCTGCGGGGAGACCTGGGGCCGGGGCGCGGGGAGAGCCCGCCAGCCCGAGCTGCCGCCTCGACGTGAGACCCCACCCCGACACGGCCACCAGATAAGCCCGGGGGGCGTCCGGCCCTGCTCAGCCCCTCCAGAGCCGGGAGCCCCGACGGTGCCTCCCTGGGCCCCACCCCGCCGTGGTGTCCGGCATCCTCCGCGGCCGCCCAGGGCGGGCCTCCCGCTGGCCCCCGGGAGCAGGGGCGGCAGGCCCAGCCCACGGGGCGCCGGCACCTCCTGTAGGAAACGCTCGCTCCTGCCGGCCGAGGAAGAGAAGGCGCTGCTCCGGCCTCTGCTCGCAAGGGGCACGTTCTTGGGAACGCCGTCCCCCGCGAGACCGGTTGGTTTCTGGTGCAGCAAGTATTTTCCGCCTGGACTTTGGGATTAAAGGAAAGATGCGTTGGTGTGGATTTTTTGGGCTTGAGCAAACGTGCTGTCCACTAGACCCGTTTCCACGAGGACGTGGCTGAGGGCAGCAGCCGGCCCCGCCCGCCCTCTGCTCACTGAGGGAGACGCAGCCGCTGTGCCCCCCCCCCCCCCGCTGGCCTCCTGACCAGGGCGGTGCGGCCCGCGCTGCCCAGTCTCGGCCGCGTCTGGCGGGAGCTTTGCTGGCCGGGGAGCTGCTGCCTGGTGGAGGGCAGCCGGTGGCCGTGCCCCGACCCAAAGAGCGAGCAAGGACAAACCCTCTCTCCCGGGACCGCGCCCTCCCTGCCCTGCCCAGGCCCCCTTCTGGGTCGGGCTCCTTTTTCGGGACAGTAGGGGCCTGCCGCCCGCCCTGCCCGTGGGGGCCCGTCCCGGCTGCTCCTGCCTGCCCTGCGGTGCCCATCTGACCTCCCCGCTGCAACCTGGAGGCCGGGCGTCTGCCCTCTGGGGTCTTCACCCGCCCTGGGCACCTGTGCCAGGTGCCCACGCTGTGTCCCGCCCCCAGGGGCCGGCGAGGGCAGCCTGAGGCCACCTCTGTCCAGGCTCCGCGCAGCTCGGGCCTGGCCTGTGCCTGCCTGCGGTGGCGGCCACCCTTAGCTTCTCTGCGGTCACTTCAGTGAGGAGTGTCCCCTCCCGTCCGTCCTCCCTTGGGGGTGCAGGCGCGAGGGCCACCTTGGTGGCCAGCGCACTGCGGGGCTCTGGCGTGTCGCGAAGCCGTCCCCTGCGTGGCCACGGGCCGCCGGCCGGGGGGGCGTGACCTGCTCTCTCCACAGTGGCCGCCTCAGACTAGTACTGGGGTGAGCTCAGTTGCCACGTGGCGTGAGCTCTCGGGGCGCCCCGCGGCAGGCGTTTCCTGACCAGGCCCTTGCCGT